CCACTTTTTGTTTTTCTTCCCACCCATTTCATTTCTTTTTTTCTTACATGGATGAGCAGCGGTGAAACAATCATTTGGCTGACTGCTGCTGATTTAATGTTCTCAATTTGGACAATGATCTCTATCTGTGTAGTTCATGTGTGTGTGTCCACAGTAAGTGCCGCAGAGTAGCGCAGGGTAATTAACTCTGTTAATTAATCCAGCATGATAAATTTGAACGTAAAATGCCAGACAATGCCTTCACAAGCTCAGAACAGATTTTTTTCCCCGGCTGAATGTCTCATGGTAGTTTCACCCAATTAGTATGACAAAATATTGATTATATCTCCAGACTTGTTTTTCTTTACTTGGCATAATGCAGCTCTGCCCTGTTGAGTTTAAAATTGCTCTACTGTTATTGTTTAGTGAAAGAACACTTGTGATAACGGGAGTGTAAAAACTTTTCAATTTACAAGTTGTGCTGACGATATCGTCAAAGGAGCCTGATCTTTTTGCTGAATATTTGTTTTTCGCATTCACTGACTCACTTATTTCAGCCTTTTATGTCATGATGCAATGTCCCACATTTGTTATTATTACGGAAGAAGAGGTCGTTGAAGAGAACTCAAATGTGACTCCCCACACCACAATAGAATTGTGCTCTTATAATAAAAGATGCCTTTGGTAAAATGAGCATGGAAATCAGAGTTCTGTGGAAACCACCTTCAAAGATGGATTATCAGCATAAAATATTACAATTTCCTCCAAAATAATTTTCTGCTTATCTTTTGCAACACCTTCTGATAAAATATTACATACTGAGTGTTTGTAAGCCATTAACATCAAGGGATTGGATTGAGAATTTCTAGTCTGATGTTAAGCAGTGTTTTACTTAAGTGTCCACTTTATCTATTGATTTTTTGAGTTGTGACAAGGCAAAACACTCCCAGCTGGATTTTCCAAGATTCATTGTGCAACAGTCTAATGTGGTGCAACCGGCGCTGTAATGGTTGATGACGGTTAACAAGCAAAAAAACATCCATCTTAAAAAGTCCCTTATTGTAAGATTAATGGAAGAGTCAGTAAAAATTTTGTGATGTAATTCCACTTCTATTCATTGCAATTTTACCTTGTTTCAGGAATTTTCTTACTTATTAATGTGAATATTTGGAAACCTGACAGAATGAGTCAGCTTTATGCATTTGTATACAATTACACATCTATAGCAATCCCAAAACACACTGATTTGTACCAGGAAAAGATTTTAGGAATTGCATATAGAAAAAAACTTTTTTTCTTTAATACATTTTATATTGTTTTTAGAAACTTTTAAGTTCCTAGTTGTGAGAAAAGGCAAGTAGGATATTAATACATGTAAGACAAATAAAAGTACAGTCTAACGGCCTATATTTTCATTGACAGAGACATACTTTTGCTTTTACATATTCCCATACTGCATACTATTGTGTCTCATTTGAAGGTGAAATACAACAAACTGCTTTTCTCTGTGCTGTTTAGCCTGGGGATGCTATTACCACACCATGATTAAAAATAAAATAAACATAAAATGCAAATAGGGAGAGAGATTAGATGAGTGGAAAGATTACAATCCGTACATCAAAGCAGAAAATGAGAGAGGAGGGAGATGATAAGAGAAGACGGAGATGGAGGCTAGAGATGAAAAGGAAAAAAAAGTGTTTTATTTAGGTAGCATGGCTGAGACCAATATACAGTATCTGCTGTTGCAACCTGTTTGTGTACCTTGTTTGCTGAATTCGGAGAAGAGGCTGAGGCTTGTGATGGATGGCCCGGTAAAGATGATGGTGTTCTTGCCAGAGATGTTCTGGCAGAGCTGCTTGGCCACGAGGCTGTGGAGCTGAGGCTTGTTCTTCAAGGTGGCCAGACCGTCTGTACCCTGGCCCTCCTTCAGATGGACTGAGATCTGCATAGTGGTAACAAAGAGATGGGACATGTGGATGAAACAGATAGAGAACTACCAAGCTTTATTTCAGTTTTCCCTTAAGTACCATTTTAGTGTCCTACTATATAAGTCTATAGGCTAAACCTTCTAGAGGCTGCAATGTTCATTTTTAGGTGCACACTACATTTATCCTTTCCCTCTTGTTTTGTCTTCCATATGTTTGTATATGATTGGGTATGTTTATGTATGTACACATTTCTATGTATATATGCACATATATATAAGCATATGTGTGTGTTTATATGTATTTGTTTGTGAAGCAGTTTGTAACTGTGTTTTAAAAAGTACAATATAAATAAAGCTTTACTTACTTATTTTACAAAATTGTGAGATGGAGCAAACATGGCGATGATTTCCCTTTTCTTAAAGACTTACCAATAGAGACTTAAAAAGTTTGTCCTGAGGTGGCGCTAGAGAAAAGGCCATGGAGTTGCTGGGATCAAAATCTACTTGGACTCATGAGAGACTGCATAGTGACATTTTGGGGCCTCCTAGTGGCTTAAATAAAAGTCCCAGAATTTTTCTACCTGGCATATGCCCTATGAATGATTATATTATATGTCCTATTATTAATTGTGACTAGTGTTTCTATATAATCACTATAGCCACATTTACAGGATGTTGCTTTAAGGCACCAACCATAAACTGTAACGTCCCCTGTTTGAGTCCCGACCGGGACTTCCGATGCATGTCATTCCCCCTCTCTCTCGCCCCTCATCTCTTTACTGGTAAGGCTCTCATAAAGGCAAAAAATACAGTAAAAAAATACATCTTAGCCTGATGGTGTTGGAAGTAGTAAGCTCATGAAGTTTCCAAAATTAAAAGTTAAGAGTTCATCCTCCCAGAATATCTGTGATCAAACTTTTAGGTGATCACAGAAATGTTTTAAGAGCACCCACTGGGAGCCATACATATTCACAGCAAATTTCATGATGATCTGGCCAGTTGTTGAGATATGTCTGGATAAAGGCAGGCTGAGCTGTGCTTCTTAGCAGAACACATTGGTACATGGTGCCTTTGAAGTCTCAAAAGGAATATAAATAGGAGCTTGGCTTCTAAAGGAAACCATTATTGAATGTAGAAATGTACATTCACAAACAGTCCTGTGTCCTTCTTCTACTTAGATTTCTGTTGTTCCCGAGCAGAACGGTATTAGCCTAATTAGCAAGCATCTACGTCAGGCCTTTAGCTATTACACTAAGTGGTCAGTCCATGCCTCTGTGTGTGTGTGTGTGTGTGTGTGTTTGTGGATCCCTGTGTGATGCGCAGGCTAATGGAATCTCATTGATTCACTCCATTAACTTGTTTTATTTCTTAGTTTTTTTTTCTCTCCCTCGACACAATTCATTTAGAGAGAGAAGATCTCAGCGCAGACACACATCAGTGTACAGAGGACTGGTAAAGACTGAGTGACTGCCAAATGGCCACAGTCAGTGTGAATGATAATGCTTATTTGTTAAATGGATAGGATGTGAATATGGCTTTAAATGACAGAGCCTGTGATGCTTCTTACGCACAACTCGCTTTAGGGGGCAAAATTATGAATACTTAGATTTAACAGTTATTTTATTTGATAGAAACCAAAAACAAAGAAAGCAGGCAAATTAAAATTCTGATCGCGGTAGGTTCCCTCTCCACTAATGTAATTCTGGACTACATCCAGGCTAAAGAAGGAAACATTTCCCTTGCAGTATAATCGTATGCCAGAGATCTATCTATTTATGGGTTCTGTGCAGTGAAAAGCCCTTTATTTACAATGTTGTCTCAGAATTTTCCTTTAAAGCACAGACCACAAACTGCAATATCTCCAGTTTGAGTCTGGATGGGGACCTTTGATGCATGTCACTCTCTGTCTACCATTATGATGCCCTCATAAAGGAATAAAATGACCAAAAAACACAACATGACATAACATATCATAACATAACATAACATGTTTCGTCAATCACTTACATTAAAAGCACATTTGTAAGGGATCTTGCAAGGCCACTATGAACACGGGGGAATGTAGTTTAATTAAATGAATGACAGTTTTAATGATTTAATGTTAATATGGGCACTAGACAATTGTTCTAAAGACAGACTTAAAAATTCTATGTAAATAGGTAACAGGGACTGGAAAGTAACTGGAAAGACATGCTAATGTTGATTTTTAACATGTAACATTTGTCCCACATGGACCAATAAAACCAAAAGTATTGTTGAAACAGTCCAGCTGCATAGCTATATATCGCTGGAGGTAAATGCGTTATGTCAGTGAAGGTCCTCTTCAGTATAGCAGTGAAAATGTTTGTTTGTTTATTATATATTATTTATACATAATATATCTTTAACAACCTGCATTCTGGAGGGAAATGCAGTAACAGTCTGGCTGCGTATCCAGTCCCACAAATACTGGGTAGTAGTTAGGAGGTTGTCTCAGTCAAGATAAAAGCAGCAAACTCTCGCAGTGTCCTGAGATAACTTCTGTTATGAATTGGCGCTATACAAATAAAATTGAATTGAAATTGAATT